AATACAGGCTGAGTACAAACGCTAGTACATTATTTTCTCAGTAATTTTAAATAGAACACCCACTATTTTATGACAACATTTAAAAGTAAAATTACCATACTTTAAATTTTATTTAATATTTCCTATGTCTATAGTTTATTTTTATGAACGAGAGAGTAATTAGCATAATTTTAACTGGTACCTCCGACCACTCCATGGGCGTGCTCAAGATTAATTGAAAAATTACTTTAAATAATTGTAAAAAATAAATGAATTATTTCAGTGTTATAAAGTGTTATGTGTATGTAAACAAAAGTGACCTCTTTTATCACACACTAGATTAGAACTGACTGCCTACATTAAAAAGGGTTTTAAAAAATTCACATTTTTTTAAATTTTTTAAAATTACAAAAGAGAAAAAGAGTTTTTAAAACCGTCTAAGGTATGTTAAATAGATGAATTAAAATATTAATATAAAACTTACAGCTACTTGTTACAAATCCAAATCAGATTCAGAAGATGAACTTTCAGAACCAAAATTTATAATAACTGGCTCGATCATTTTATCAGTAATATTATCCAGCTTCCACATTTTTTCCTCTTCTTTAATAGTGTGATTTACTGCCTTTTCCCAGTTTTCAGGTTTTACATTATTTACGGCCTCCAAAAACAACTGTTTAACATCATGAATTTTAAAGGTGGTATTTTTTCTTGAAACTTCACTCTTTATCTGTGCCTATACCAGTTCAATCGGGTTTAATTCACAATGATATGGTGGGGATCTAAGTACTGTCATTCCACGATTTTTGTCAATTTCATCAATTTTGTATTTTTTAAATTTTTCTTTATGAAGGGCACACAACGAATAAAGTTCCTTTCTTATAGATCCGGGATGGTACGTAATATTTTTTGAACTCAGCCAATTCTGCAAGTCTTTTTTTAACCACTTGGTTGTGGGCAGTCCTTCTATAAGTCTGGAGTGATAACTTGCATTATCCATTACTATTACACAGTTCTTAGGAAGAAGATCTATCATTTGTTCGAACCATTCTTGAAAGACATCAGCGTTCATGTCTTCATGGTAGTCACCGGTGCGAGTTGATTCAAAAGTTAATAAACCACCTTCAACAAAACCGTCTGAACTGCCAATGTGTACTATTATCAGCCTGCGTCCCTTTCCTGATGGTGGGTTTAAACCAGTAGATAAGTTATTTACAAAAGCGTGCCTTTGACTTTAACAGTTTCATCCTGCCAAAATTTATTTGGTGTATGACCCTCGTTGATCCATGTTTCATCAAGATAAAATATTTTTCTTTTTTGATTTCTCATTTCCTTTATGGTTCTTAGAAAATGTCTTCTCCATAGGACAATATCGCTTCTTTCTAATAAAATAGACTTTCTGGGATTCTTTTTCCAGCGGAAGCCTATTTCTTTTAAAAGTTTCCATAACGTACTTCGACTCATTTCTGGGTAATCCTTATAATCTCGAACTGAGACAAGAACTTTATCCAATGTTGGAAATTCTTGTCTAAAGAAGAATTCATGCACTTTCCGTCGAAGTCCTTCTTTAAAATGATATTCTATTTGAAATTTTGGTTTCCCTGGAGCAATACGTGGCATTTGAAAACTACCACATTTCTCTTCTTTAATAACTCTGTAAATCGTAGATTTCCCAACACCAAGTGTACTGCTAACTAACTCAACGGTCTCATCAACACTTTCACATAAACGTTTGTCTGCAAATGATTTAAAACAATTAAATATTAATGTTTTTTCATTAACTGTTAAAGGACCAATTTTTCGGCGGTTACACGGCACTTCCAAATTTTCCATAACACTAGTATACACAATAAACTGCACCTTGCAACTGAAGTACCTACTTTTAGTGAACTGTTAAGAATTTTGAATACGCCACTTGGACCTTCCTACAAAATGGAAAAACCCACTATCACATTTTCTGTGGAATAAGTTTAGAAGGTAATTAAGCTAGTCAATTACTGTCGTAGATTCCTGGAATTAAAGAATTAAATGTTTGATTGTTGAAACCCTTACTTCGCGGAATGCACTCATTTCAGATAAAATAAAACGTTTTATTTTATCTAAAGAATTAAACTTTATTTTGCAAATAGGTAGGTACTTATTAAACTTTTATTGGTTATATATAACCAATAAAATAAACATCTTACATTTCTTGCAAATTCATTAGTACCTACCTGTTAACCTCCATCACTCCGACACTGGCAACCTTATTTAGGGATTAGTAACCCTCACAACTATTGTATTCTATTCTGCTCCAACATTTATACCTGGTGGTCATACTCAATTTAAAATTGTTTTCCTATATACTTCTGTAAACTTGTTGACAAATATCTGTTTTTCATTGAGTCACCCGTATCAACAGTTTAGGGATTTGCATACATAATTTATTGTTTTATTACTCTCTCATACATAAAAATACACTATAAATGTGTTAGTTTTTGAGATATTTACATTGTTCAAAGCAAATTATTATTAAGATGTCTAAATTTTTACAAGTTTTATGTAAGCCATCACTGAATTTTTTAAAACTGACCATAACTGATTATTAATCCGGTAATTAATGTAACAATGTAACGAATAAAGAAAAAAAAACAGAATTTTTTAATACATTTTCGTAAACATGTATAGTAAGCAATAAATAGTTCTATGAAAATTGTCGTTGTATATTATTTTAATCTAATAAAATAATATTTTATAGCAAATATATAAACTAATCGTGGGTCAAGACATTATTACGACACGAAAAACACTAGTTATATTCGGCTGAAGGACCGTTCAATTTTTTTCTTCACAGATAGCCAGGCAGCGCTTAAGGCACTCAATTCTGTAGAGGTCAATTCTATGCTAGTAGGGGATTGTGTGGGTACCCTAAATAAACTAGGAGACAGTAACAAAGTTACCGGTACTCTGGATACCAGCACACGAGAGTCATAAGGGCAATAAAAATGCAGATGAAATGACCAAACAAAGCTCGTTAATGCCATGCATTGAACCGGGATCCTTTCATTCCGGCGTTTATTCAATATTGCGGAGTTGGAAAGGCAGTAACAGGAACGGCTACAAGAAAGTAAGTAATACAAAAATCTCTGGAATGGTGGAGAAATTCACCAGGAAAAAACAGGCGAAACTGTTTATTATAGAACATTCGCAAAAATTTACAGTAGACCTAATAAGCGAAGACAGTAAAACTTTCAAAGCCGTAGTAGGTCTGTTAACAAGGAACTGTAAGCTGAATGGACAGTTGAAGCTGATGATCTATGCAGATCCTGTCACCTAGAGGAAAAAACGGCATAGCACATTTTGTATCAGTGCGAAAGCTTGGCAAATGTGCTGTTCTTTACATTGGGCTAAAAACAGTCACCGGTAAAGAGCTACGTGGAAGGTTGTCTCAAAGCTATTAGACCTTTTAAAAAGACCCGACTACAAAATGTAATCTAGGATTAGAGAATCATAATATATCTGAAAAAATCGCAGTGGAATAGGCGAAAAGCCACCTCATTGAATATATCTATCTATTGTAAGAGTATTTTCGAGGGCTATTAATAGTCTTAAGACCATTAATACACATTCGTACTTCTCCCTGTATTTTTGACATATTTCATAATAACTGAGGGTACCTTTTTGATTTCAGCTTTTCGTTTTTTCTTAACTTATACTTTTTATGATGATATTTAGTGATAGTTCAAAATTATATGCGAAGGTATACATATTATATATTAACAATTTCTTTATATAGCCTGCAAACCCACAGCTGCTACCCACAGACTGGACTAGACTTTTGCCAAATTTCTCTAAACGTTGAACATTATGACCAGTAATAATATTAATTCTCTTTAGCTTTTATTATCCTTTTTACATAAAAAAATATATGTTGTGTCCGTAAAGTATGGAACAAATTATTTTTTAGCTAAACAGAGCATTTTAAGAAATAATCCTGAAACACGTCGATTTTTGATTTTAATTTACCGTATTAAAATTTAAATTTAAATAATATTCTAATATACAGGGTGAATTACTTTCGAGTAATGACGTCACCGTCCTTTTTTACGGCATCATACACAATACTCGCAAAGGCTAAATGTATGGGCTGCAATTGTAAGAAATCGAATCATCGGACCCTACTTTATCGAAGGTAATTTAAACGGAGCAACGTACCTTGAGTTTTTAAGGGGGTATCTCGTACCTACTTTACATAATTTGTTTCCCAGCAGACGTAATCTTGGAGGTTTTGATGAAAGTTTGTGGTTAGAAGGTACCTAGATGAAATTTTTCCGAACAGATGGATTGGTAGAGGTGGACCTATTGAATGGCCAGCGAGGTCACCAGATTTCAATCCTTTGGATTATTTTATGTGGGACCATCTGAAGAATGTTGTGTATCAAACGAAACCAGCAAATATTCAAGAATTACAACAGAGAATTCGGACAACAATAAACAATATTTCTCAAGACACAATAAACAAGGTTCAACAGGAATTTGTACAACGTTTGGGTTACTGTCAAATACAGCAAGGGCTGCAGTTCGAACATTTATAAAGTCATGTATTTCATCATATTCTGTCCGCTAGACAATAAGTATTTTTGATAATATTGTTAATTTAACTAACCCGTTATTTTATGAACACACACAAAACTTTTGTATTTTTGTCCACCCTGTACCAATTTGAATCAACATGTAATACATTTTTGGAGTCAGCTCAGCTAGAGTAATCCGATAATTGAGACAAAATGGGGTGTTCTATTTAAAAAAAATGACTGTGACGTCATTGCTCGAAAGTAATTCACCCTATATATTAGAATATTATTTTAAAATACGGTAAATTAAAATCAAAAATCGACGTGTTTCAGGATTATTTCTTAAAATGCTCTGTTTAGCTAAAAAAGAATTTATTCCATACTTTACGGACACAGTGGATATAAAACACTTAGTAAAGCCATAGTCTTACTTTCTTTACTAAACTGTCAATAAATATACCAACTTACAATTGCATATGCCCAATCAGATCTAGCACAAAATATTCCTGGTACTGTTGGAGTACCTAATACAGCTCCTTTTTCTCTCCAATCGAACGATTCAGGCAAATCGTCTAAAAATTAAATCTGTATATTTATAACTTATAATTAAACTTATAAATTCTGAAATTTGAATACTGTCCGCTAAAAAATGACTGGCAATTTTTTAAGCCATACCTAATCAACGTCCATACTTCCACTGAGGAAGACAATGGGGTGAAAGACGAAAATTCTATCAAGACCTAGAAAGAGCATAAAATAGCTACGCAAAATATTATTTTAAAATAATTACTGGAAGAATGAATGCCCAAATTAGAAAAAAGACATGCAACCAAGATTATGTTGGTAAACCCAACCTTTCCGATGTAGCTAATGACGATATATTAAGATTAATTACTATGGAAATCGCCAGAAACATGGTAGTGGAAAACCCATGTTTTAATTACAGAGGTAGGTGATTTGTAATTATAATCACAATAATATTCATAAACCATCTGAATATCATTAGATGAAAGGACTAAAAATTATATCAATCAAACACAATTTACATATATTTAAAAATGAGAAGTTACTGAAACTGTCATTCCTATATAAGAAAAACTCCAGAGCAAACAAAGACAGTCGATCAATAAAGTACAGAAATATGGAATAACTGGAAAGAGGCTTTAAAATCAGCAGCCCAAAACACATTAGGTACATCCCGAAATTCAGCAAGAAACATATGATTTGACGAAGAATGTATGAAAATAATGAAGAGAAAGGAAAAATTTATACACAGAAAAAATACACAAATACCACAAACTGGCGTAAATATCAGCTAAGAAAAAACACGAACTTTCTATCGCTAGAGAAACATCATAAGGCAATATTTGAATCAGTAACTAATTTATGCATCTCTAGGACTGATATATTTCTTTCCAGCAGAGAAGATTTTCTTATGAAATAAACAGATTACTTCCGAGAATTGCTGGAAGGTGAACCTGCTAACAATACAGAACTAGAGATCCAAACAAGGAATTTATGGAGACCTCCACAGTAGATGAAATAAAAATGGTCATATAAAATCTATAAAACAACAAATCCCAGACAGTGATGATATCCCAATAGAATTTTTAAAACACGGAGGACAACATTAACCTTCTGTTTCTAGTTTCATGACCGTTATCGATCATTGGATATTATGTTGGCTACCATATTCGCTATCGTGACTTTATTGACAGCAGCTCTAAATTTTGATGTAGTTGATTTTTTCATACCATTGTCTTACATTTCTCAGCCATGATGTTCTTCTTCTACCAGGACCACGTTTATCTTGGATCTTTTCTGGAATGATCAGATGTAAAAGTTCATATTTTTCAGGGTGTATCTGACCGAAGTATTCCAGCATGCGTCTCTTTATGATATTTACCAATTGTGTTGTTTAGTTCAGGTATCTAAGGACCTCCTCATTTCTAACTCTGTCGACCCAGCTTATTCTTAGTAGTCGTCTATATACCCACATCTCAAAGGCTTCCAAGTGTTTAAACATCGCCTCAATTAGACTCCACGCTTCTACTCCATACAGTAGCACTGAAAATATATAGCAATATGTCATTTAAACGTGACTGTCAATGCTAAGATCGTGGCTACATTATCCATTTTTACAACAGTGGTTCGGGCTTATTCTATTCGACTTTTAATTTCTACGGTTGGATTCCAGCTATCATTGATATTGCTGCCGAGATCCACGAGTTTTTCAACCCTGTCCAGTTCGACATCTCCGATTTTTATACCGTCATCCTGTATATAATTGTGTTTTCTATCTATCATATATTTAGTTTTCTTAATGTTGAGTTTTAATCCATACTGATTACAGGTTTGCTTTATTTTATTCATTAGATTTTGAAGGTCTTCTTCGCAATTAGCCAGCACTAAAGTATCGTCGGCATATCTAATATTATTTATGGTTACACCATTCACAATAATACCTTCTGTTGTCTCCATTAGGGCTTACATGTTTCTTCTGAATACAAGTTACAAGAGTAAATGCACTAGTCTACAGCTTTGTCTCACTCCTTTTTTATATTTATTTCATCTGACAGTTGTTGCTCAACTTTTATTCTTTCCACTTGATGCCAGTATAGATTTGTAATTATTCGTAAAAAATTTTTCTCGTCCAATCCAGCTGTTCAATATTTCTAGTTTAAAAGAAAAACAGTTAAGATTTGATTTCACGAATAGTGCCTCTGTATATTCACGTATACATATTTCATCCTAACAGGATTCATCAGAGCGACTGTTACAGAAGCTATGAACGTGGGAACGTGAGTGCGTGGTGATAAAATAGTTTCAGTATGGATGCTATAGCGACATCTTCAGAAAATTCAGATTTTTGGTTTAATCTGTGTCTTCTAAGAATTTCAAGGCAAAACAGACAATGCTAAAAGATGTAAAGAGAGATATGGAGAATCTAAAAGTTGCATTCTACAACATATTCCTCGCCTAAGCAAAAATCCTTGGCGAATTGGTTTTCAGTACTCATAAAGAGTAAAGGTTTCGTCAATAGAAATCTTCGGATTTCTAATTTCGCGATTTATTTCTAATTTAATTCAATATTATTGTCAAAAGCTATTTGAAAATCGATTGCACAGATGTATACATGATGATTATAGCTCTGCATCTCTAGATTAGAACTTGTATACTGAACAAAGTTTCTGTCGTACCCAAACCGAAATGAGTATTGCTAAATCTCTTCTCTAATATCGTGTATATTCTGCTATGTATTACTCGCAGAAAAATCCTCAAAACGTAACTCATCAGACTTGTTGTCCCATAATCACTGCATGTCTTTGCACAATGTTTCTTTAGTACTGTGACAAACTTTGGGATAGTTGTTTCCGTTTGTTTTTTTTATAGTGTTCGATTCATTACATTATTAACCATAAAATTGTGTTTTCACATGTCTTATTTGCTGCCTATTGCGTAAATCCTCTTGTACTGGTTTTTATCTTTATTTCTGACTTCCCTTCTTTGGTCAATAAGTATGTCTTCTGTCATTCAACCTTATTTTCTTCTTGTTTTTACTGCACTTAATTTTGTTTCTTGAATGGTCTTTAATATATATTTAATTCTCATACAGTTTTCCTCGGTACTTTCACCTTTGCTTGATTTCAACTTTATTTTTTGTTTTAATACACTGATTATTTCTTGTTTTACGGTATCATTTGACATATTTTCCCTATCAATAGTAACTCTTTGCTTATTAATCACTGTAACTGTTTTCAATCTGTCTTATTTTTCCTACCATAATATTGTGATCTGTGAACAGATAACTAGAAATAGTTTATAAGATCGGGACAGAGCAAGAAATTTCAGAGAACTAGAGCATAGGAGTAGCATATACATAAAAATGGAAACCAACTAGAATTAGATACCTACCGAAGAATAACCCCTCTGAATATCGCCTGATATTGCCAACATCTTGTATAAGAGATTGAAGTTATACAAAGAAGTCTATCTGAGGGAATATCAGACTGGTTTCAGGACAAACCGTTTGATCATTAACCAGATTTCGATTTTGCGCCGAATTCCTAAAAAACGTCCTAGAGTTCAACGTCCATCTATACCACCTGTTTGTCGACTTAATTATGTATGTAGAATGAACTAATAATTCTAAATAAATCATGCATTATAAAAATGACGATCACCAAAATGATATCTGTAGTAAAAATTTAAAAAGCCTCAGCAGCTCCCTTTGAAACAAAGAGCTGAGACAAGACAATGGCATGCCAGCTGTTCAACTTGACCTTAGAAAAGATCATTCGAGACGCTAACTTAGATAACGTAGGGCTTATATTTAAAAAATCATTTCAGACTTTAGTATACGCCGAGTGTGTCTCACCACCGATGATTAAAATGATACGATTATATTAATAAATCAAAAGTTTACTATTTCATCGTACTAAATAAAAACAGACTAAAAAAATACACAATAAATAGAAGCAAATTATCTATAACCGAAAACTAAGCTTAGACATCCGAATTACATTTATTAAATGCTATATTTGGTCAGTCCTTCTGTATGGAATTGAAGCCTGGACATCCAAATTAAATACCATGAGACGGCTAGAGGCTTTTGAAATGAGGCTTTATCGCAGAATGCTCAGAATATCATGGACACAACACATTACAAATAGAACAGTATTAAACACGAATATTTATTCGATATAAAAATAACTTACCACTATATGTGTTAGCTATACATTTGAATAAGCAGAAACAGAAGACAACAATAAAGAATTTCATTTTAAATTTGATAATATTTATATTAAAATGGTATTTATATATAAAATAATCCGAATAAAGTAAATAAATACGGATCTTAAGATTAAGTAGATAAAGTTAAAGGTCGTACAGTTATTACATCATATTTCAAATCGTATAAAAATAAATCTATAGATAAACTTCATTATGTCTTTGAAACATTATAAACATCACATGTTTGTTATTTTCTTAATAATTATTTTATTTCATTTCCTTTACATTTTTGTCATTTATTAACTTTATCTTTTATTTTACTATTTTTATTTTAAAAATAGTTGGAGCTCAACTCTTCATTCAACTTTCTATTTACTGAATATTCTGTCATAATCTAAATTCCAAATTTCATTTTCACTTAATATTATAATTCCTTTATTTACCACATTTTTTCTGCAACACGTATATGGCAAAGCGGCATATTTTTTACAAATATCGTTCATCTATAAAAAGGCACGCTTGGATTGAAAATTTATTTATATTAATAATTCTTTTTTTGGGGTAATTTATATTTAATATTTAACCAATATTCAGTATCTTTTTTTGACTTTGAATTTGACTTGTTTTTATACATTCGTAATGTCCTAACTAATTCAGTTAATAATAATTATATTCATTTTGCGGCTTGCATCGAGTTATTGCTAACACGCTTCAGGTCATCAGTCCATTTAGTTGGAGGGCGTCCTCTGCTCCGCATTGCTTCTTGCCTTGGTCTCCACTCTAAAATACGTTTTTTCCATCGGTTGGCTGTTGTTTTTGTTCTACGACGTATTTCTTCGTTTGGGATTCGGTCTCTGAGAAAGACACCCAACATCTGGGCGCCATAGCCATCTGAGTCCGTCGAATCTTATTAACTACCTTTTTTGAGTGTTAATGTTTCCGCTCCATAAGCGAGTACAGGTAACACACATTTGTCAAAGATTTTCTCTTTGAGACATATAGGTAAATCCGATTTAAATACATAGTTTAATTTACCAAACGCTGCCCAGGCTGATCCTATGCGACGTGGGAGCTCACATGTCTGGTTATCTCTGCCCAACCGAATTTCATGTCCTAAGTACTTATACGATGTAGTCTGCACAATATGGCTTCCATCAGCAGCAATATTTCGATTTAGCACCAGATCAGTCATTATTTGTGTCTTGTTCATATTAATCTTTAGTCCGACCTCCAAGGAAGCATGATATAATCTTTCAAACATTGTATCATCCATACGATCGGCTATAAAGACGATGTCATCTGCAAATCTCAAATCACTGAGCTTCTCTCCATTTATGTTGATGAAATGCTCGTTCAGATGTGTCTTCTTACAAGTATGTTCCAAAAGCGTCGTGAATAGCTTTGGAGAGACGGTGTCTCCTTGCCGTACTCCTCGCTGTATACAGAATTTATTTGTTTCCTATTCATATAGTCTTTCGCTAGCTGTGGCATTTTGGTAGATATATTTGATTATGTTTATGTAGCGATAACCTTCTGTCGGCATTCTGCTCAATGCTTTTAACATTTTCTGATGGCTTATGGTATCAAATGCTTTCTCGTAGTCGACAAATATCAGTGTCAATGGTTTGTTGTATTCTGCAGACTTCTCTATTAGGTTCTTTATCACTAGTAAGTGGTTAGAGTGGTAAGAGCTGTATCCCGATCTAAATCCAGCTTGTTCTCTAGGCTGATAGAAGTCTAATTTAGCGTCCAGTATTTTTTTGATAATTTTTGTGAAAAGTTTATATATGTGTGAAAGCAAACTAATAGGACGGTAGTTTTTTTAAATCTGTTATGTCTCCTTGCTTGTGTAATAAAGTAATAACTGCATTATTCCATTAAGAATGAGTTTTTCCTTGGTCGATGCATTCGGTGAAAAGCTTGGCTAAAGCCTGAATAATTTTATTTTCACCTAAACTATAATTACATTATTTGGAAGAGTGATTCATAGTTTAAAGGCGGAGAAGTGGGGAAAGACTAATGAAAATCTAGTGGCAATCCAAAAACAAAAACGAGTTTTACGGGTATTTGTGGGTCGGAATTGGAACGGAGCTAATTCCAAAGTTGCCAAACGATTGAAAAATAATGTTTTGAAATATCGATTTTTATTTTATAAATTTAAATATGTAACGAAACGGAAATATATAAATAAACTTTATTTCATTACAATTTTGTGCTTAATTTTTACTAATGAAAAAATCATGTTTTTTTATTATTTTTATGACGGTAATAATCGCTGCGTGGAAGAATACAGGTTTTGTATGACCATAATTACTACTTGTGAACAAGAATTGGCTACACTGTACGACAACTCCTGGTCAAGTCTTATATAGAAAAGCACAAATAAATATACTACTTATATATTCTGTAATTTCTTATGAGAAAACGCAAATTGCAATTGAGAAAACGGGTAGTTTTCGAGGGCCGCTGTTTACATTTAAATTTGAGGATATTAGGCGTTTAAACGATGAATCACTCTTCCAAATAGTGGAATTATAGTATAGTTTAATCGCTTCGTTCACTACTTCGTCATCGCCAGGGGATTTGTTATTTTTTATTTCTAAAAGTGCCGTTTTGATTTTATATGGAGTTGTTTGTGGCATTAATTCTAATCCCTGTTTTGAGATTTTGGGCAGGGGCTGATCTTGCCTTTCGCCGGTGCTGTCATACATTTGGCAATAAAAGAATTCGACAACCTCAAGGATTTTGGTTCTATCAGTAATAATGTTTCCATCTTTGTATTTTCTTTGGTACACATTTTTGTTGCCAATGTTGTTCGTATTTCGCCCCAAAATTTTTAAACTTTTTTCCGGATTGACCGGTGGATATCTTTATATAATTTCTTCATTGTTGTGTAGTTGGAGCCGTATTTTTCCGTCAGCTGTCTTCTTTTACCTAATATCTCTTTGGTATTTTGGCTGAGTTTTTCTTTATGGGTCAAAACGGTCGTGCAGCACTCCCTTTCCTTTTCTTTTAAAGCCTTCATTATGCCATCATTTGCTTGATCTACATCTTCTATTTCATCTTGCAAGTCTTGTATATGTTTGATTAGTGTATCTTCAGGTTTTTGTTTTCTGAGGGAATCCATTTCTTGTTTATAGTTTGTATAGTTTATACTCATCTTTTAAATTTGAATTTAATAGTATATTAACTTGGATTAATCTGTGGTCGCTTCCTACTAAAAATTTGTTGAGTACTTCGATGTCTATGATTATTTATTTTCTATTTGTTATGATGTAATCTATTTCATTTTTGACACTGCCGTCTGGGCTGATCTATGTCCATTTACGCTGAGCCTTTTTATCGAAAAAAGAGTTCATCATGAATAAATTTTCCTGGTGTAAGAAGTTCAGCAATCATTGCTCTCGTACTTTCATATTTCACATTTCTTTCGCCATAGCCCTACTTACCCATTGCTACTTCTGCATATTCTTGTCTAAACCCCATTTTCGCATTAAAATCGCCCATAATTATTGTGTAATATGCTGGTGTGGCATGTAACGCTGTTTCTAGGTCCTCATAAAATTTTTCAATTTCTTCATCAGAGTGGGTAGTCGTTGGAGCATATGTCAGGATTACCTTAAGGTTATATCGTGCATTTAATTTGAAGATGAAATATACAATCCTGGGGTGTATGCTGATAATTTTAACTATATTTTGTGTGTGCTTTTTATGTATAATTAATCCTACTCCACCATTTGAAATGTCTTCTTCACCTCTTAAAATGAAATACGTGTCCTGATTAGTTTGTTTTTCGTTCGATGGCTACATTTTCATTAATATTTTATATGAACCGTACGTCTTAAGTATGCGAATTTGTCCACCACTTCAAAGATAGAGTAGGTCCATATTTTTTGAGGCATTTGAGAAAGTGATGTAGGTACATTTCTTGTATAAGTGCAATTTTGTCTATATCATCCGCATAGGCCATAATTTGTGAGGATTTGTTAAAATATTTACTCTGTTGTGTATTTTGGCGACTCTAACTGCGTTTTCCAAGACTCTGTTAAAAAGGAGACACGCCAGCGCATCTCCCTGTCGCAGCTCGACATACGTTTCAAACACTTGTGATTGTTCACTCTGTATTTTTATTTTGCAAACAACTTTACACATTGTAGCCTTTCTAGTCTTATTATTTGTTTATCGGAAATATAGAATTCGTTATTGGCTTATACGATTTACTTCGTAGCAAACCATCATAGGCTGATTTAAATCGCCTACACGCGTCCCGACTAAACTATCCAACTGTCATGACCGACGGTTAGTATGTATGTAGTAGTTGTACAAGAGGGTCGATTTGGTTGTACAACGATATTCCAACAGCCGACTTCCCCATTACCCAACCTGTCAAGTCGGAACGTGGCAAGTCGAGTGACAAACGGTCTTACCCTGTGTGGCTGCTTTTATACTCGCTGTATGCGCGGGAACGGTATGCGCCGACGTGGCCTGAGCGGTGTGGGCGGGAGGTAAATTTTGAGAAGTTGGGAATTTGTTGTATCTAAATTGTGTCGGGTTGAATGAATTGAATTTCGAAGAAGTGAAAAACCAGTTGCTCTAAGAATTGTGGAAATTGATGAAGATTTAGTGTGATGTTTAACTTAAAGAGATTTTGGAATGACTTGATGGTCATTAAATAGGTATTATTAATTGGGTGATGGTAAAACTAATTTGCGCTAGACATTACTTTTTTTTGTTTATTTTATAATTATTATTTTATGCAGATTTATTAAATTCAATTAATTGTTCAGTTATTCGAAGACCAAAAAATATAAAATCTTTTTTATTTTATAATGCCAGAAAATAATAAAGCTCAAACTAGATCAGTCGATCAAACTAAATCTTTATTTATTGATTACAATTACAGTAAACAAGTTAAATGTTTCTTATATCTATATAATCTTAAATCTATAGAAACTTACATTTATAGAAATACAAAACATTGGTAAATCATCATTCCCCTTCATCAAACTTAATATGCTTAGCCCTTTCTTTCTCCGCTTTCTTCAGAAGCTTGTCTCTTCCTCTTTGTTTTTTAACATTTTTTGAAAATTTTATGATTCGGTCATTCTGTATTTTTTCCCAATACATTTGTTCTTCATCTCCTTCCAACAAAGTCTTGTCACCCGGATATTCTTTATTGCAAAATTCTTTGGCACACTCCGAACTAGAGAATCTTACAAAAATTTCCTCGCAGCCGGCAGGTACAGGTATATCAACGTATTTAATATCTGATGAAAATGACTTGATTTCGTTCTAAAAAAGTATATAATGTAATAAACACAATTGATAATGTTCCTAATAATATTAGCATGTAAAATCATCATATACAAATTGGAAGTGATGAGAATGGACAGGAAGAGCATGCCAAAAATGATCCTAAAACGGGGCCCAATCAGGAAAAGAAGGAAAGGACGGTCCAGACAAAGATGTTTCATAGTGTAAAAAAAGATCTCAGAAAAAAGGGAATTGGTGGATGGGAAGAAAGAGCAACAAGCAGGGATGAATGGAGGAGAATAATTTAGTAGACAAGAAGCATGATTTGATATACTGTTAGGCACTATACATTCTTCTCTCTTAAACTCGTCAATACGCATGGAAAGCGCAGCGTTTTAAACTGCTATAAACGCTGATCTATCAAGAGGGTTAACTGTCAAAATTTGGCAATTAAAGAAAAATAGGAGGTTATTACTAACCCGATAAAAGCATGTGCGCAACCACATAATGTATAGTTATAAAAACCTTAGTGTTAAATTCTTAATATATCCCTAATAATCCCTCATTATTCTGTTACAATAATTATTAAGAAAACACGAAAATATATTTTCTTATTGTCAATATATTTCAACTCAAATAAAATGAGTTTTTGTCTCGTCCGCTCTTTCTTCGACTTCCGCTAAAACAGGTTGCTTATTCACACATTGCGATAATATTTTACCGCCAATTCTCTCCCCTTCTCAATATAAAAAACCATCATTTCATCACGACCACAACTGCTAAAGTTCATTCGTTTAGCAAATTCCCATCTTTAAACACACGCACCTCCGTTAAGCTCGCGGAGATAAGAATACGGCCGATGCCAGAAGACCCGTAAGAGGCGACTCATGGATGGGTAATGAGAGATGGAGAGCTGTCGTTCGAGGTGTCGGGTCTGTAGAAATGCACTCGATAGAATGCTTAGTCATCTCGGTCACCAGTCTACACTCCTAGTATCCGAGACGCGCATCTCGTGGGACCACTCTGCTCTCATTCCACAAGAGCCAGGTTAGGTTGAACGAGCTGGGTCCGTAAATAAGACGAGAAAAAAATGTTGGACGACACCTACTTGCATAGGAATGTTGTCGGTAAGAGCCGAAAAAGTACGGAGCGATTATAGAAGCCATTGTGAACTTAATGGAAGGTACTTTAATTACTAGTGGTAATTAAATATATAAATATATATAGTATAGAAAAATGCCAATCGTAGATCAGGTGATTGAAGAAATTGGCAAATATTGATAATAATTATTTATTTTGCGCAAACAAAAAAATAAATAAAAAATATGTCAGTTCTAAGTTGGATACTGAATGAGCACTGGAATTCACTAGTAACTATTCATCGTCAGTACGTAAGGTTTAAGTCGTATGCGAAAATAAAATCATCAAATACGTGTCTAATGACACCTACGAGAAAACATAATGTTTATCAAAAAAACAAAATATTCACTATAGAGATTATTAAGCATCGCCTGTCATATTACAACCTGAATGCTGAGCTCAACAGATCTTCAATATTTATTTATCATATATACTTAATTATCTAAGAACATTCACACAAGAATTATTTTACGGCTATAGAGCTCACATCTAAATATAAGTGTATCAAAAACTTCCTCAATAGCTTGATTTTTGTCGCATAGAAGAGTATGTAGTTACTGTTGTTGTCCAAAGGTAGGTTCACGGATATATATATATATATATATATATATATATATATATATATATATATATATATATATATAATGTCGGTTTATAACGTTCTTCGACGTCTTCCGATTTCCAATCTCCATCTCATTCTATCGTTCCATAGATCGTCCTCCAGTTCTCTTTCCCCGATTTCTTTATCAACTCCTTCTCTCCAACTTCTTCTAGGCCTTCCTGGTCTCCGCCTACCTCTTGGTTGCCATTCAAGAATTTGTCTTGGTATTCTATTCTCCGGCATTCTCCTTACGTGTCCGTACCATCTGAGTTGTGTCTTTTTGATGTCATCGACAATATTATGTGTAACCCTCTTGATTTCTCGGACTCTCATTTGTTATTCTGTCGCGTCTAGAGATTCTCCGTTCTGTCTTTTAGGGGCCACACTTCGCATCCATATGTTGTCATACTTTTTACTATGGTGTTGTATATTCTTCTTTTATTTTCCTTAGAGATGTTTTTATCCCACAGTACGCTGTTCAGTAAGGCTATGCCTTTCCTTTCCTGTGTATTTCGTTCTTTAATGGCTGCATCTAATTTTCCGTCCTGAGTGATCTTTACTCCTAGGTATTTGTAGTCGTCACATTGTTTGATTTCTTGATTTTCCATTAAGACAAGGTTATGTTGATCTCCTCTGATACTCATGCACTCAGTTTTTTCCATATTCACTTCTAAACCCCACTCTGTAAACTCTTCTAATAGTTTTCGCATCATGTAACTACGGTCTTCAGAGTCCTGTGCGATGATGAGCTGGTCATCCGCAAAGCATAGAGTGTACAAAGTTAAGTCCATTAGTGGTATGCCCATATTCGTACATTTTTTCTTCCATTTGTTGAGTGCTGCTTCGAGGTATATTTTGAATAATGTTGGGGATATACAGCATCCTTGTCTTAGTCCTTTAGTCACTTTGAATCCCGGTGTTATCAGATTTCCTGTTTTAATACTGGTTTTTGTTGGTAGTACAACGTTTTTACCGCTTCAATCAATTCTATATTTATAGTTGTTTTGCCCAGTGCCTCCCATAATTTATCAATCGGGACACTAGCATATGCTTTTCTAAGGTCTACGAACGTCAGGTGGACTTCTTGGCCACGAGCAACTTTCTTTTCAATTATCTGGGTAATAGAGAAGACATGGTCTATTGTAGATCGACCTGCACGAAAATACCTACTTCTATATCTTGGTATTCTTCTATTCGATTTTTTATTATTTTCCTATATATTCTGTTAATACTACTAGTAACTGCAATTCCTCTATAGTTTTCAGGTTTCGATTTATCTCCCTTTTTATGGATGGTGCTCATATACGATTCTTTCCATTCCTCAGGTATTTCATGTTTATTTACGCATTCCTGGAAAAGTTGTTGTAGCCGTTGAATTAGTATTTTGGGTCTATGTTTGATGAGTTTTGGAGCTACATTTCCTGGGCCAGGTGATTTGCCATTCTTTAGATGTCTGCATACGTTTTCGACTTCTCTTTTATTTATTCTAATTGGTGATCCTATCAGCCTGACGCCTTGTAGACCATAGTTCTCTAGCTGTTTGAAGGGCTCTCTTGTCTCTGTTAGTAAATCTTTAAAGTATTCTTCCCAAGTTTGCGGTGATATAGACTGGATAATATCTCTTTTTCTGTTGTTTCTTAAATTTTTTAACACTTTCCAGCTTTCTGACCTTTGGCTTCCACCAATGTATGCATTTCATGGTTCACAGATAAAAGTAATAAAGAAAGTTTTTACCTTGGCTCTGGAGTACTAACAATCCCCACGAACTATCATCCAGTAAGACAATACACAATCAGAACTCGCTTGGCAAACTTAGCGATATGAAGGTGAACCATAAAAGAAACAGCCCTGATAGATCTTCTATCCTCACTATTGAACCACTATCAACTCTGGAAACGTACTCGAAACGCAACAATAGTAGATATTTTATCATGAATTAACCACGGATGGCTAGGATATCTCCAATTTTAGACACAAAAACGAACATAACTCATTAACTACTCGTAATCACTTAATAAATATGATAACGAATAACTTAAATCATTCGGTACGGTACATTAATTATTTATTTTCCAATAATCTGCACGGATGGCCAAGATAAAGTCGGAATTTCTTATTTTTGTTACACCGCCATGTTCTGTACTTCACCAGCTGTCGTTGCCAGATGATTTCTTTTAATTCCCTAGAATCTTTGCCAAAATTTCCCTAGATTTCCCTAACAAATTGACAATCATATTTAGCCTAGAATTGACCACCTAAGTCTGACGTCTGAATTAGCGGGTTTTTAAAAAAACCCTTCCTAACATTTTATATCTGTGTGTATTGGTCACATACAAAGTTGGAAATATTAGTTTTTAATTGTTTGTAGAATAAATAAGGACTTTTGGTTATGAACATTCATTCTGTTCGATTGGTATTATTTGTTGTTCGTGAATTTGTGAGGTAAGAATTCTCCTCAACATTTTCTCCTTCGTAAGGATGTAGTGGCATCATGTAATTTGTTTTACTATTTCTATCGAATTATCTGTCTCCTGTGCGTTTTGTTTTGCTTCGGAGAATGAGTAAGTAACCAGTCATCCTTTACTTCCTTTTACTTAGACATCCTTTATTTGGTCCGCCCATCGTACTGGAGATCTGTTTCTGGTTCTTTTACCCGCTACGTTACCTTCAACTATCATTCGCTCCATGCCTTCTCTTCTTCTAGTTATATGTCCAAAATATCTCAGTATATTTTGGTTGATAATTGTGATGAGTCTAGTTTTCATGTTAAGTTCAGCTAGAATTGAGTTATTTGTGCGATGGGCGGTCCATGGTATGCGCAACATTCTATTGTAGACTCACATTTCAATTGCCATTATACGCTTTGAATCGGCTTTTTTTATTGGCCAAGTTTCTGAAGCCTAGGTACCGATAGGAAATATCAATGTTTGAACAAGGCGTAATTTTGTGTTTTTTGTGATGTCAGTGTTCTTCCAAATTTTTGTAAGTTTAGCTGTTGCCGATCTAACCATTGTGAAGCGTCTACGGATCTGGTCTTCGTATCCTCCACTGTTAGTAATAACGGAGCCTAAGTAATTAAATTGCCTGACTACTTCGTAACCTGCCATGTTTCTTATCTCTGCTTGGTTGTTTCTGATCCTATCGATGATCATAACTTTGGCTTTCTGCATATTTATTTTCAAGCCATTTTCTAAGCCCATTCATAATTTGTTCCACTTCTTCTGGTGATGACGCCAATATAACAGTGTCATCAGCATAACGTAGGTTTGTGATTTTTCTTCCTGCTATAGTTGCTCCA